TTAGACCGTTCGGCTACCGTGACCGGCAAACAAGGTATTACTCGTATTATTATTATTATTATTATTATTATGGCTCTCCTTTGTTGGGCCTTGGCCGCTTTTTCAGTTTCTTGATCCTACATACAGTCAGAAGGACTCTTTGGACAGGGAATCAGCCTGTCACACCAGTAAACAAGATATGCTTACAAAATTTATGTTATGACCGATGGTCAGTCGGCCAGTGTCTTGGAATAAAGCACGCATCTGGGGCTTAGGACCAGATCTTTATTAATGCCAGACTGTTGCAGGTTTGCTGATGTGGGGAAATCTGACAAGAGGACAAGTCTATCGTTTGCCAAGCCACAGCAGTGATAAGTCTGTTGTCAGTATGAACAATTTATATTCTACATGTTATTAAATGTATGTATATACAATATATGCCGGTCACGGTAGCCAAGCGGTCTAAGGCATGCACTGTCTTCGCTCGCTCGGAAACCGAGATCGTGGGTTCGAATCCCACTCAGGGCATGGATGTTTGTGTGCGTTTTTCTGTGTTTGTCTACAGGTAGAGGCCTTGCGACGAGCTGATCACTTGCCCAAGGAGTCCTACCATATGTGTAAGATCTAGTAAACCGAAGTGAAACGGAGAGTTTCATGGAGGTAGGCCTAGGCTCAAATTGGGGCTGTAGCGCCACAGGGGAGGGGGAAAAAGAAGAAGAAAAATATATATATATATATACAGAGAGACTGTCAGTCCAGGCTCAGTACAGCAGATCGTGCTACTGCTACAACAGCAGTCTGTCACTTGAATGGTTGTATGCTTGACCGCCACCTCTTATTTCCTGTGTTGGGGTTCTCCTTGTTCAGTGTTGCGAATATTTGCATTTTCATTATTTTGTATGACTTCTGCTTGTTATTTACATAATTTTGTTATATAATCATATATATATATATGGAAGCTCGAAATCCGTGTGCAAATCGCGAACCGGTGTGCCCCTTGGAAAATTTCCAGTGGTGCGGAAAACTTTGTTTTGCAGGCGCTGCAATTTCAGTAGATAGTTGTCTGCCGCAAACTCCCACGTGGGAGTTATATAAGTATAGTGCTATTGCTATTCACACTCTGCAATTCACCACAGCACACACTTAAGTCTTCTCGGCCTACAGTGTCTTAATCAGTTTTCTGGTAACAGTTTCCGAAGGCAGATGATCCCCTTCCTTTGGGTTACCAAATTGTCCCAGTGCCTCAGCTACCAGCTTCTGGCAGCAACAGCTTACAAGCATTGAACCGCAGCAGTCCTCTAACTAACTCACCCACTCACCAACCAACTCAACCAGTGTTTCTAACAATATATTTTAATGCTTCACGTATTCATAGATTATAATTTTCTTGGAATAAACATTCTTTGCAGACTGTCACATCTTTCCCTTTTTATGTAGCCTGATTCTGACAAAGTAATAAATTAGAAAATATTTAATACACCAAGTTCAGTGTCATCACTGAAGTGTTTATCTTCTCTGAGCACTTGTAATGTTTAAAATCTGCCCTACAGGTGATATTTGCAAAGAACTTGGGGTCTTCTTCATTGCAAAGGGGTTTTTCCTTTTGGCTGTCAGCACTGCCATGAAGGCATATGGAGGATTTGCAATAAAGCTTCACACGTTCTTAATTTTGATGTCTGATGGAGGTGAGTGGCCAGTTTCATGCTCTGGCACTGTCAGGAATCAAACTGCAATTCTTCAGTCATCCAGCATGCAGCCTAGTCACTATACTGACCAAGCTATCACATACTAAATGTTAATGGTTCTACCTGGTGGCATTACTAAGTAACGGAATTTTCCTTGATCCTCAGTGCCATAGGATGTCCAGAAAGTCACTCTGGGGTTCTTCGAAGCTGTATTTTCTTAACCATTACACACATTAAAAAAACAATTTATTGAAATAAGTCAAACTCAAAATGCTAATGTCAGTAAATTCCCATGTGTGTTCCTTTCATGACACAACAGATATCTAGCTGAAAACTGATTTAATTCAATCTCTGGTTACTGTTACTAATAGTTCCAGTGATCTACAGTTTGGGTTGACTACCTGCCAGTATGCCCACACGTCACTTTGGACATAACTCCGTAATAAAACGTTATGGAGCACCAGAATTGGTGATTTCAGAGGCCAAGTGATGAGACTTTCATCTCCCTGTCCACTGCACAGGCCTGATTACTTGGCTTCCAAGATCATAAAATCTGATGCCACATGACTCTCTCTCATAGAGTTATGTCAAAATGCTGCCTGTGGGTGTAGTGGCAGATGGCCAACTTAGATGGGTTGAAACAGCAGATGAATGCAGCAGTGATAACAGTAACTACAGAGATGGATAAAATCAATTATAAGCTATATGTCATGCTGAGAAAGAACTGCACATGGAAATTTACTGACAGGAACTTTTTTAATTTAACTTCATTTCTGTGAATTGTTTGTTCAATATGTATAATGGCTAAAAAAGAGACAGCCTCCTAAAATTCTAGAGTAACTTCCCAGTCATCCTGTAAGAATCCGTTTTTATTTTCTAAATTTCCCATTTGTATGATCTGAGGTTTTCACAGTGGTGTACTTTCAGTGTAAGAAGGGATAGCTGGTTCAGGTATCATGGGACTGTCTGGTGTTGCACTCATATGGAGTACTCAATACATAAAGTTATCATCATTTATTACAACCAAGAAAGTCAATATCTAATATTTGATGGACCCAGAAGTTGAACACCAGTGAAACCTAAATTCAGGGCAGGTAACTTCCCAACTAATAAGACACAGGTACAGAAACAAATACAGCTACCAAGAAACTACCATGTGGCAGAAGTGGATGGAATGTCTAGCAATAGTGGAAAGACAAAAATGTTTTTAACCCATTAACATATTACTTATACTATTTGAAATATGAGAATACAATAAATTAAAATATTTCAAAACTAATGCATTTATAAGTATTACAAAACTACCATACAGGTTACTACATCTGATGTTCTGTAACTAAACTATTTCAGCTTTCATTTGATGATATATCAGTCCTCAAAATGGCTAACACAACCGAAGAGAATGTTTAAGAGCCATCAAAATATGCCAATGGGTTAGAGTATTCCATATACACATCAAAATTATTAAAAAAAAAAAGTTAAGTACATTGCTAACTGCTTCTGATGCTTATGAAATAACAACTACAAATTAAATATGTGCTGGTAAGCAAATTATTCTAAAATATGAGTATTTCATTATACCAGCCAATTTCAAATGTACTCATAATACATTACTACCAACTGCAGAATCAGAATAGCAGGATGCACATGTGTATGCATGAGAGAGTGGTGAATGCAGATTGGATACTTTCAGAGCACTGAAAAGTAAGTAGGTAGTAAACCAACAACTGAAGAGTGATAAGTAACTTCAAACCAGTAAGTAAAATACTAACATGGAATGAAGTCTCCTTGGATCATAAGCTATGTCACGACGGAATTAGTATCCAAAGTCTCAGAGACTTGCTCTTGTACTGACTGACATGGCTGAATGCTGTATATATCCAAACAATATGTGCAACAAGCAGCTGCATCACTTATCGATCCTTCATAATGGACATGTAGACAGTCTCCAGAACATTGGGTACTAACCTGATCTGCGTATGGCTTATCACCCAAAATGACTTCAATGAATATGGTTGCCATGACAGCTTCAAATCATATAAAATCTTATGTCAAAAGATTGACAATGTGACATAGAATTAAAATGAATACCTATCGGCCAACTATTTGATGTTCAAAGAATCCATATTTTCATATTTCATTTCCACAAGAAACATGGTTTGTTATCCACACATCACTATGACTGCAGTGGGGCTGCCTCTATGAGCCTCACCCATCTGAAAGGCCATCTATCACAATGTCTGTTCCAGCCTCCTTTATGGCTGCAGAAGGCATGGTAATATATTACACGTGCAAGATCTGGCTGTTCTCACAGCAGCAACTATAAAGATTACAGTTTTCTGGAATATGATGCCATGCATTTTGATAGAACATTATGAACATTTTGGAGAAATCTGTTTCCTCCATGTTTAGGATAGAAGCGTGGAAGGTCCCCTGAAGATGGAGGCAGCAGTCCCCTCCTGAAACACTGGTGATGTATCAGACTACAGCAAGTCACATCCCAGAAGACAGTAATATTCAAATTACATATTTGTAGGTCTGCATGTAATTCATTAAGATTCTCATTTCATTATTTTGTTAACGGATAACAATGGATTGTGTTAATCTCAACTCAACCAACTGCAGCACTTCAACATATACTTGGTTACAATTCCAGTACATCTTTATGCATTCTGTAGTGACATAACAGTGTTTAGAAACAGTGCCATACATATTGCATTATAACTGTATTACAACACCATGCACACCCTGCATTCTGTAGTTGTCACTGAATACTGCAGCACTTAATACTGTTGTCCTTACCAATTCTCGTGTTATGCCAGTCACTGGAAGCTCTCCTAAAACTGCATTAATAAATTAATACAACACATAATACACTGATGACGCAAATAACACTTGTCCTCCTTCTCCTCATCTTCCACTGATGTCCAAATTTCACAAAATACACTATTTACATCTCACAAAATATACACAACATGGCAGCACATATGGCTGTCTGGTTCCCATGGAACAAACACACTCCACCATAACATTCATCAAATATGTGTGCAAAGGGAAGGAACGAATCCAGAAAAACCAAATAACAGCAGCAGAGAACAGGTCCTACCAGCCACAGTACAGGGAACAGAGCTAAAAGGAAAAGGTAATGTAAATGAGAGCTCACCATACAAGGACCCTTGCTCCAGTCGATGGTTTCTTCTTTCTCATTTACAGACATATAAACTGTAACACCTGCTGGCTACTGGCTGTGGTCTCATGAAAACTGGGGATGGACAGGAAACTAAACCAACAGGAATTGTACAGGAACCTCCAGATGCAGGACAGGGCAGCTTATATCAGACATCCAGACTTGGACTGAATGTCTGGCCATTGTGTCTTGCAGCTGGGCTGATTTCTGGGCTCGAAGACTCGCTGTTCAGATGCAGTTGGAGATCAGACGTTTCATCATGTTCACTCTCAGTGTCAATGGACGCTGAACGTGATGCAGATGCACGCACTGTGGTGCTGCCACCTACCCATCTTTCCTTCCAAGTTTCTAGCCTCATGATCTGAAACAAGCACAGACTGTGTCACTTCATCACCATCCTTACACTGGGGTGCACTACACATGCATCAGACAAGCATCTACTGTGATGTGATGTCTTCAGGGTCCTAATAACTTCTACTGTAAATGGTTACATAAACATGCATAAGGCTCGCTTTCCTTCTGACAAGAGCGCATAACATGAGTATCACAACAGTTCAAATAAAATGATATTTTTGTATCATACAGGCCAATCAGAGCTGTTGCTTTATTCAACATTCTAAATGAGATGTTTATTATTCAATAATTAATTTATTTACTTCTGGCTTACTTCACAATGCTGTCAGCAGTTCAAGCCATACAGCGTCAAACGATACGACGATTAATAAATAATGAATTGGGAAGGAGGCGAAAGGAAGAATTAGTGGCATAATTTTGAGGTACTGTCCTGCCACTTGCTGGAGGGACACAAAGAGCTCACAAATATGAAACAGGAGTGGTAAACACTTGATCACAATGTTCAGCATATAGTTTTAAAAATGTCTCACTGGATAAAAAGAAAGTGTGAAATATAAACATACAATTCAAGACAATTTTCATTAGCCCTTTCACTGGTTACTATAACCAGAACGTTTCTTACAACACATGGGTCAATAGAAGCTTTAATTTTATGATTGAGGAAGACACAAGATGATGTACAGCAGCCTGATAAGTAATGGAAAATAATTTTTTTGTTTAGAGAAAAAAGAAGAATGTCACCATGCACCAATCTGAGAAGACATCACACTTTTCAACTGACTTGCTACCATAACAGAAACTTCAAATAATGAAATTACAAATTTTGTTTTGCAACTCAGATAAGAAATGGAACTCACTGTTATGCAAACCTAACGTGAGTCAGCAAATCTGAGAGCCAGGACAAGTCTGAGACTTGGCTTCACTCTCAGAAAGCTGGCCTTCCATGCCAGTTCAGTCATGCAATCAACAGGACACACTCAAGAGATCATGCATTCTGTGACGAACTCAACTTACACAGTGAAACAGAAAAACCTGGTAAAGTAATTACAGTACCTGTTTGCAATAAAGAGCACAGTGATCTCTCTCTTTTCACAATATATTAAGGTGCTCTCACTTTGCAGTACTAATAAGCTAACTCTACAATACATGAACATTCTTGAGCAGTTATATTACTCAGCTGATCACTAGGTTTCATGTTCTTCATGAAACCTGAAGGTTTACACAAGCCCACCACTGCCCCCATCCTCAGCCAGTTCATATCTTCCCAAACTGTCCAAGATTCATTTGAATATTATTCTACAGTCAGTACATCTCTCACAATTGGTCTCTTTCCTTTACACATGTGTGAGCATGCATACACACAGACATACACAGTACAGTCTTCAATGCAGTTCCACTGGTCACTGGTTGAATCACCACTTAGACTATGGCATATTTCAGCCACTGCGAGACACTGTCAGGTATATATGATATTCTAAGCAAATTGTTACACAGTACTATGGTGTCATATGGCTTGTGAGAGCTGTACATCTAACAATTATTATTTAACCAATTTCTGGTGCCCTTTAACTTTAATACATAAAATGTTCTTAAAGTTTTTAAAATTATGTAAAAAGTGTATGTGTGCAGTGACACTCCTCTTTATGTTCTACTTTCTGCTTACTGTGGAGATGTGTGTTTCATGGATGGTGTCCTAGTTGTGTGTGTTTTGGTCATGAATGCGTTTGTGGTCAAATAATAAACTTTTTAGATGTACAGCCCTCATGGGCTATATAACACTAGATTACAGCGTAACAATGCATATAAATCATCATATTGTCAAGTGTATGAGTGACTACAGATGGAGTTTGGATTGGTGACTGGATTTATTGACCATTAAACACTCACTACTCATAAGTACAAGTAATTACAGTGCCACTACTAATTTACATAATTCACAAATCACCACAGCACTCACTAACCCTTTTTCTAGGCTGCTGTGTCTTAACTAGCCATTCCCTGGTAATGGCTTCTAACAGTGGAGATTCTTCAGCTTCACGCACTCAGGTTCTATCTTCACAGATTCCCATACAGAACTCCCTAACAACAGACTCTATCCATTGCTTATAACATCTCAGCAAGGGCCACACAGAAACGCCCTGTCTCCAATAGTAATTCTATTGTTGTGTGTATATTCGTTGCCACAGGAATTTGTTTAGCAAGCCGTTGCACAGAAACGGTCATTGTTTACAGAGTGATTGCTTAGCAATGGGTCTTTATGCCACATTATATACCTGACAACATCTCTGTGAGGCAGAAACATATTGTTTACAAGATGGTGGTTCAACCAATGATTGGTGAAGCCATATTAGAGACTGTATTTTGTGTGTGTGTGTAAGAAGATAAAGTTATCCCTGTTCTTAACTAATTAAGCACTATTCCAAGATATATGGGGGTGGGGGGTGGATGTACAGACAGTGTGTATCAAGTGATTAAGAGCCAGGATACTGCAGTTGGTATAGCGATTGGCTATGGGCTGGTAGATCAAGGGGTCGGAGTCTGAGTCCTGGTAAGGGCAAATGGGCCAGAGTTTTCTCCTCTCCACATCATCCAGACCAGTTCTGGAGCCCACCCAGCCTCCTGTCTGATGGGTACCAGGGGCTCATTCCCTGGCAGTAAAGCAGCTGGGTCGTGAAGCTGATCACTCATCTCCAACTAGTGCCAAGGTCCAGAATACATGGATCTATATATCTACTCCCCCAATCATGTTAACATTTTCATGATGTGGGTAGTACTAAATCAGTTAAGCATAGGGACAACTTTACCTTTATCATGTGATTGAACTGGTGCAGCAGGATGCTTAAACACATCATCATTCCTTGAAATTTATCAGCAATAGTATTTTTTGCAAACTCTTTGCTTCTCTCACATATAACACCATCTCATATTTACTGATCAAATCACACTGAAAGTATCAGATGAAGAAAGCTGCTGTGCTTCTCATTATGGAGAGAGTCAGGATAGCTCAGTCAGTACAGTGACTAGGCTACAGGCTGGATGACCAGTCAATCATGATTGAATTCCTGGCAATGGCCATTGATTATTCTCTTCTTTACAGCACCCAGACTGGCACTGGGGCTTACACAGCCTCATATCCAATGGATACTGGGAGGGGGGGGGGTTTTTTACTGTGGGTGAAGCAGCTAAGGCATGAAGCTGACTGCTCACCTCCATCTAGTACTGAAGCTAAAAATATGCGAAGCCATAGCTCCACTCACCCATACATCTTCAGGACATGTTGCCTAATTAAGCACATGGGGCAATTTTACTTTTTTCCCTATTACCTCATTACATAATTTTTGCCATCGCTCTAATGATATTGTGACATGTAAACCCACTGCTAGGCAAAGTCCGTAAACATATTTCCACAAAGCATACACACTTAAAAATGGAAGGACATCCACTGCTAGGTAACGGACAAGTAAACATGCATTCTTGACAACGGAAGACAGTGTTTTCCGTGGGGTCCATGCTGAGGAGCTATAAAAGGGCACAGACAGGGTACAACGAAATACAGAACAGCAGTCAAAAGAATAGGATCGAGTTCTGGAGATGGCAGACAAAGGTGATTGACAAGAAATGACAAGAAAGGAATTATGCAGTGAAAAGAAGTCTTCAAGTAGGAATTGGTAGTTACAGTGAGACTGCGATAAATCTGTTGCCAGGATATGACTAGTGAAGACTGAGAATCCTAGAGAGAGAGAGAGAGAGAGAGAGAGTGTGTGTGTGTGTATGTGTATAATGGTGAACTGGAGAGAGTGTAGAATAGTGATAGTGCTGTAATTGCCTGTAGTCCCTAACTACATGAATGTATGAGGTGCAATAAATTTAATCATGCAATCCAAAACCCATCTTATAAGTCACACCCCTACCTGTGACAATATATATAACAGACAAATGTCCATCCATTTATCCTGCTATGTTTCTCCCTAATAGTGCAGTAAGGGAAAAATACTAAATACGAAGAATGTTGCTCTTGGAGAAACAACCTCGAGAAAATATTTATTATTTTTCATTATGAAAATGAGATAATGGTGTATCACAGAAAAAAAGATAGTAGATAACAAAAAACATTCACTTGGTCAGATATCTTTGGAAAAATAACTGGCATTATTTTTTTAATAAAGATGCACAGGGTGCCCAAAAATCTAATAAGACACACACTATCAAATGTTCCTCACATTATTAAAAATCTTCATTGCAAGTAACTGAAGATTACTTAACAACAATATATTTGTTATTGGTTCAGTATCTTAATATAAACTGTCAGAATTTTTCAAAGTTACTTACAAAGTTTTGTGGCAACAATATCTCTTTGAAATTTAAATGGGCTTTTTTGTTAGTTACTTCACATTCCTTTGGTTCAAATATTTCACTTGTACTTTGTTCTCAAACACTTCCAATCTATGATCTGCCTTTCTCACATAATTTTATGTAAATGCATAAGGTACAATTTTTTTTTGATTAAATGAAAAGTTACCATCCAGCTTGCCTGCATAGGTATATAGGGAGCCAGAAAGTCAGTCAGTGTACCAACTTACCAATGACAACAATATTAAAAAACAATACTTCAAAGAGAACATGAAGAAAAATGGTCATAAGGAAGGAAATATTTGTCCTGTTACCATCTCCTTATTGCATTTAAACTTATTCTGACATTCAACAGTATGTACTGACACAACAGGATGGTGTAATATTGAGTTCGTCACTCGCAAGCAAGTAAGCATGTGTTGTGGCACTTACTCCAGCCACTTCCATGGCTCAACATCCGGACTTGTGGGCGTGGGAAACTAAACACAGCGCCATGTTAGTAACTTGCTGAGGCAGTACTACGCTTCAGACAGCTGAAGCCTAGTTAGCCAAGCAAACAGGACAGAGTGAAGAGTGCAGACAAAAAGGACTTCCAGTGTCAAAAACATCAGATCAGTTTATAGGGGTGTGCCATATTAATATTTACAGCACAATCAA